GTCTGTGACGCGCAACCTCACGCCCTGCGCTATCTGGGGGGGGGGGGGGGGGGGGGGGGGGGGGGGGGGGGGCCGGACGGACAACAAAATGGGGATGCCAAGAATTTTTGGAAATTGAGTGCGGGGATACGGATAGAACCGAAATCCCCCGTGTTGGGCCGACTTAGTAAGAGGGGAGGGTCCGTCACTACGCGGATATCTTAGGGACAAAAGGGCGCGCGCGGGACGCTTGACACGATAAATTCAATCCAAAAAATATTGTTGAACGTCCCAGCGGGCCGTTGCCCTTCGCTTAGCGTGAAAGGGGGCGGGCACACTTCTAGTGTCTCGTTTTGGGATCAAGTCCCGACGCCGCTCATTGCACAACTCAGAATCTGAAGTGATGTGTCTCAATCGTGTAGCTCGTTCCTTGTGTTCGTCCTCACTCCGTACGCGGTAGTGGAAACCCTTGGATTGGTAACGCTCGAGGCGACAACAGTCGCTACACAGAGTGTTGGGCCAATGGGGTGCCACTGCCGTCCACGGCATGACAATCAACTCGTTAAACGGTAATAGCAGTGAATAAGGCGGAAAATGCGTATCAATAATGACAAAGCCTGCTCCGACAAATTTTGAGCACCGAGTTTTTGGAGGGAAATGATATGGGCCGCCGATCCCGGCAACGGCTTCTCGTACGTCCCACTCGCATACACGTGTCCTGTTCTCGTTATACGGGAAGGGACGTGGCGGGAGTACGAGAGGCCGGCGCCCAGTCGGGTTGGGGCCTTCAGTCCACATGGCAAGCCAATCAATAACCGTTCATCGTTAATCCCCGTTTACCGATCGGGTTTTGCCTTTATCTATCTGAAGCAAAGTGGGAACATATTTTGTTTCTCAGAGAGAGAGAGCTGGCAATGGTCTATGGTTTCGCCGAGAGAGTTTTATACAAGATCGTAGGGGCGGTATCTACATCCAGTGGGACATAGCTAGCGATCCACGTATGCAAGTCGTACGTGGCGCCCTGCTTCCTTTCGATAATGCAAATCGTTTTTCGGGTTTGTGAAACGAGGGCAAGCCGCAGAAGGTATGCGGAACGTATTCTGAAGTGAAGACTCGATCGGAATCACATCGTCATCAGATCTAAACACTCTTGCATTCTCGAACAAAATCCCAACAATATTGTTCTAGCCAACACTCAATCTCTACCCRCTCRCCATAGCCCTTCAGCCGAATCAAAGACCAAATGACCAARCATTCGYAATTACTCRTCGMGGAAGRTGCGAAAATGAYAGCCTTATATTGTCAAGTGTTCCATGTGCTATGCACCCCTGCCCCGTTATTCCGAGTCTAATCAAAGCGCCAACCCATCAGACAACCATTCCCAAACATGCATAATCATTCACATTAAAAGATGAGTGAGCAAAATGAACTCCATAGAGAACGATCACACAAAAGTTTGGAGATAAAAGAGTTTGCGGCTTAACTGCCGCGAAGTTGCACTCATACCAAGGAATAGGACAGAGACAAGGAGGCGCATCCGCCGTAAAGTTCCACCGTGGCCCCGGGCCATTCATCCATCCAACTCATGTCACTCCTCATACCTGCACCAACGGTCCTGGCCATCGCGTGCCACCTGCCACCATCACGATCGTCACCCCGTCGACTTAGTTTCTGCGCGGGCTTGCCCCGATCCCACAGTCCATCGCGGCGATCAAGCGCACAGCCAGCCAGTCTACAGTCAGCCCGTCGGGACTTTTCGACTCGCATCACACGCACACCATCTAGCCACTGCTTCCTGGAAGCTGGCTGACGAGTTGAGAGAGAGCTTTGCAGATGTGCCGGTGGAATTTATAGTTGCGAGAAGGGAGAGAGATGCGGGGAAAGATGAAGAGTAGGGTAGAGGAGGGTAAGGGAGGGCTTGAGGGTAATCGCCCGTTGAAAGCCATGTTGATCCCACACAACCCGATCTCAGCCAATCAGATTCGTCGCAAAGTAGGAATCTCTTCTTACACGACGCTTCTCCTTGGCTAGATGGAAAGGGGGGATCGACCGGGTTTTTCGAGCACAGGTTTTAGAGTGGGAAGAAGAAGAATGTGAAGGATAGCGAGAAACGGGTCCAAGATTCAGATGATCAAGAAATCGAAAAAGGGCACGCGCGGGGAAGGAGGGAAAGAAAAACAGTTACAGGGGGAGGGACCGAGAAAGCATGTGCGCGCGAGGGAAGACGCGGAGAGAAGCGCGAGAAGGAAGGAGGAGGAAGCTCGCTTGCATGGTGCCGAACAGCAAAAGAAGAATGGGCACCGAAACATTTGCATTATTTCACAATCCTAGACTAATTCAAAAATTAAAATCACCATATCCGCATGAAAAGTAGACGCGGGAAAAG